TTTTTAATTTTAAAAGTCTTTTTGGATCATTTTGTGTCCTATATTCTACATTTCGAGTGATCTTTTGGATATTCTGTGTCATTTATTTGACATTTTGTGTTGCATACTACATATTCTACATGAGATATTTCTAATCATTTGATAAAAACATCTCCTATGGATGCATAAATGACACTTCAACTAACAAAAGAGCTTAAAAAATGCATGAAAGGTGCCAAAAATAATCCTGTATTTAGGAAATAAGCAGGTATTAGAAGTTAAACAAGGAAGGACTTTAACCTGCAGGATCAACTTTAGCGTAACTTTTCTCGTCTACCTGCCTCTGCGTCGTGTAATTCAGTGAACGGACTCGAGGGAACGTTTCACACCGAGCTGAAGATGCAGAACGTGCACTCTGCTGGCGTCTGGAATTCATGTTCCCGGGTGGGGAAAGTGAACTACGAGCACGTTGACATTCATGCAGCTCGTCCATCGTGAGTCAGTTTGTGTGTCGGACCTGCTGCTGCTGCACAAACAAATGACCACATGCGGACCAGTTTGGCTTTGTGTTCACATTTTGTAAACACAAGTGCATGAAGACGTGAAAAAAAACGGCCTCGTCCAGTCACTGTGCGACATGTGATCACTTCTAGGACGCCTCTGTGTTGAAAATCAGCACTTTGGTTTTAAAAATGATGCCTTTCAGACGGTATTTAACTGCTGCTGCAACAGTTACTGAATCATTTCTGTGCAAAAATGAAAAATATTCAGTTTCTGGCTCCTTAAATGTGACAAACAAGAGGTTCAGTTGGATAAAATCCATCAAATCAGGCTCCGGGGGTGATTTTTCCAAATATAAACGGTAAAGTTGTAGTTATTTGCAGCAGCAGCAGGTGTTTTCTCAACAAGGCAGCGTGTGAAGTGGAAATCTATATTTAGCTGCAGCGCCGACAAAGACTCTGAGCATCAATCAGGTGAACTGACCAGCAAAGTCCAACGTTTCTGAAGAGGAAAACTATCCTTCACTCAACAGCTTTGTCTTTTAAAACAGCTTCAGTAAAGATTGTTGTTGGTTCGTCCTCCATCTGTGTCTTTATGGGTCAATGTGTCGTATTTTGAACGTTTTAAGTGGATTTATGGTCATTTTTTGTCTAATATTCAACATTTTTAGCATCTTTTTGGTCATTTTTTTGTCAAATTACACATTTTGAAGGTCTTTTAGTTTCTTATATTCAACATTTTTCGCGTCTTTTTGGTCATTTTCTATTTTTAATTTGACATTTTGAGTCAGTTTAGCTCGAGAAGCATTCGTAGCATTGTTTAAGTTCTCAGAGAGCAACACGAGAAAGTAAATAGTTGCACAAATGGTGTCTTTAATTTGTGAAAATGAAAATGGTTCCAGGCAGCATCGGGGGGGTTTAACTGGTGCTACACAATTAATCAAAGATAATTAGATAATTTTTGGCAAAAATGGAAAATATTCTGGCTTCTTAAAAGTGATGCTTTATGTGAGATCAGTGAGTTTCTCGTGCGTCTTTTTGGTCATTTTGCATCTTGTTTAGGACGTTTAGAGCCACTTTATGCTCATTTTGTGTCTAATATTTAACATTTTTATCATCTCTTTGGTCATGTTTTTGTATAAATTTGACATTTTTAGTGTCTTATAGTTGACATGTTTAGTCTTTTCAGCTGAGGAAGGATTTCTGACGTTGTTTTAGCTTTAAGATTCTGGAACAGAGCGACACTGTCGGTGATAGAAGTTACTCTGATTGTATAAAGACGGGTTCCCGCCAAGCTTAATGAACTGATTTCTGTGCAAAAATGGAAAATATTCTCTGGTTCTGGCTTCTTAACTTTGAATATGTGATGCTGTTCTGTTGGATATGAGAGGTTCTGGAGCGTTAGTTGGATAAAAACACATCAGATGAGGTTCTGGTCGGTCATTTTCATGTTTGAAGCAGCAGCAGGTTTTCTCTGCTTTGATTCCCAACAAAGACTTCATCAGGTGAACTGTGTGTGTGTGTGTGTGTGTGTGTGTGTGTGTCTAGTAAATCTTGCTGTTAGCTCGTGCTCCATCTGCAGCAGCACTCTGACAGCCACCGGCGTCTTGATCCCAGTCTGTTCTGGCTGTAATGGTGTCAACCTGTCAATGGAGTCCTGCTCCACGGAGCGAGTTCAGCGAGTTGGGCTGTTCACCTGGAGAGGCGAGGCGGCACCACGGCACCGATGGCACACAAACAGACGCGCGCACACACACACACACTCAGAGCGAGGCGATAGCAGGCCGACGTGTGGTTTTCCAGCAGTGAAATGAGGAATCCTTTGATTTCGCTGTGATGCAGGAGGAATTTCCCAGTTTGTCAGCGTGGAACTACTGAACAACGCCGCAATCATGAGTGCGACGGGAGAGCCATGTGTTCAGAGACGTTTAACCTCATGTTTAGCACAATTACTGAGGGGATTTTACTAAAAATGTCTCTGTGGCAGCTAAAAATAGCCCCAATGAGCCAAGCAGCATGGTCGACAAGGACACAGAATGTACTCGGGATGGGAAATCCTCAGAAAATTCCTGCCTGTGCGTCTCCACGACCAAACCGTCACCTTTAAAAGCTCCGTCAGCTCCAATTCAACACATTTAACACCTATTTATTCTGCACATTTCATTGTGTTTTAAGGCATTTCCTCCTCCTGTGCTGAGTTCTGGCGCTTTAACTTCTCTTTGCTTCACTATAATATTCCAATCAGGTATTTTAATCCCCTTTACCACCTCTCTCTGTGCTCAGACATAAGTTGGGAACTGTTTCTATTTCGCTGTAATGCCCCTTCAGGGAGTTTTAGCTGAGTTTGCATGACATCCAGTGATCACTTCAAGCATTCCTGATAATATTCTGACATCATTTAGCAGCTCTGCGCTCGTTATTTTTTGCAAAACGCGACAAAGTTGTTGATACGAGCACCAGCAGCAGCAGCAGCAGGTTACATGCACAGCTGAATCCGTGCGTAATTGCGCCTACCTGGTGAGTTGTTGGCCCCCGTTGGTCCGCCCTGGTCCGGTTCCTCTTCTCCGCTGCCTCCTTCTTCTTCGTGCTCTTCTTTGCTGTTTGTCAACACAAACCCCGGGTGTCAATTAGCGCACAAAGAAAGCCCGCAAAGACGAGATCCCACAAGAAGAGCGGCGTGCGTAAAAAAATGTAAAAAACAGAATTCAATTTGGAGATAATTTCCAGGACGCGCACACACAAAAAGAAGCGGCCAGAGAGCGTCTTGCTTGTCTCTGCTTGCTCGAACCGAGCGACACTCCTCTCCTTCTCTTTTCTGGAAACTTTTTCTTTCGCCTGCCGCTCACAGAGAAGAGAAAAAAAACGCAGCAGAATGTGAGTAAAAAAGCCGCTGACCTTCGTGCGTCTTCTGGTGCGTCTCTTTCCCTCCAAGTGTGTGTTGGCGTGTGTGTGCGAGTATGGTGAGTGTGCGTGCGTGTGTGTGTGAGTGTGTGTGAGTGTTTGAGTCTCTCCCAGCGTCTCTCCACTCCCCTGCACCCGCTCGGCAGCGTCAAGGCGCACACGGCGGCGCGCACGCGCTGCTGCCTTCCGCTACAAAATAAAAGCACCGAGCAGAGAGACGCAGAGCATGAAGACATAAAAAGCAAAATGTGATCCTAAACATGTGATATGTGCTTCACTGCAGTTGATTTCTTACCTCTGTGTGCTTCATGGTTGCATGTTTGGATCCAGTGGCTGATCTGTGGTTTAAAACAAAAGCAGAATTAAAATGCAAAATTCTTAAAACCAACTTTCGAAGCTGTTAAAATGACAAAAACACACCTGGAAGCAAAAGAACAAATGTGAAGCTTTGTTATGCTCAATGCACCTGCTGAGACGGCTGTAGTATATCACTATACGCCCTGAAAAGCTCTGGTTATTGTACAGTTTGTCAGAAGTCGCTTAAGTTTTGGTTCGACACATATTTTGAGTGTTTTCCTCATTTTTATTGAGTTTCTCTGTTGGTTTGGCTTCATTAAATTAGAGCTGTGACTCCCAAATTTCCCAAGCCGACGTCTTGCAGCAGTACATGCTCAGTACAAATAGTTCTATACAGAATAAACAGTGCATGTAAAACAAATGAATATCTACATGAACACTGAAGTGTCTGTTTAATTTGTTTAATTGACGACTTTATTCATCCTCTTGGGGGAAACTCAACGTGTCCAGTAGCTCAGACTCGTTGCATTTAATAAAAATAAGGAATCTAATGCGTTAAAGAACGAGAAAATCCTGCTGCTAGAAGGAATAAGTGCATAACTGTGCCGATATTTATAAGAAAAAATAATGTTAAAAGTCATATTTCTTTGTTTAAAACAAAAAATGAAAGTACTAAATATGACATAGTAGAAATAAATGAAGTGGTGAATGTTGGAGGTGTGAACAGGTGAAGGTGTAAACGGTGCTTTCACTGTTTTATCAGGACAAAAGATTTATTTCGGAAGTTTTTCACCTCGTTTAACTCTGTTTCTCCACTGAGTGCTTCTCTAATCTTTTGCCTTTCTTTTTATTTTATTTTATTTCTTTTGTCTTTATAAATAGGTACTACATACATGAAGTTATGAGGATTACGACTACACATGCAGTACGTGGTTCTGATATATTCTCCTGCTGCATTGGAGCGTTTAACAGAAGAGGTTGGAACAATAACTTCAATCAGAGGACAACCAAGTGTAAAGAGTTCTGCACGTCTGTAACAACAATTATATATATATATATATTTATCTTGTTTGTTTTTATTCTTTATTCTTATTATTATTCAGTCTGGAGCAGGTGCTAAACACATTTCACTGCATGTTGTACTGTATATCATTGTGTTTGTGACAAATAAACAGCTTGAATCTTGACTCTTGTATCATATCATATATTATATGTAGAGAGAGAGCAGGGATCTCCAGCTCCGGTCCTCGTGAGCTACTGTCCAGCAGGTTTTAGACGTTTCCAACACACCTGACTCACATCAGTGGATCTCCAGCAGCTTGTTGTCAAGTTCTGCACAAGTCTGTTAATGATCCATTCATGTGAGTCAGGTGTGCTGCAGTAACGTCTAAAACCTGCTGGATGGTAGCTCATGAGGACCGGCGTTGGAGATCCCTGATACAGAGAGAGAGAAATGAGCTAAATGAATCAGTCAAAGTGTCAAATCGTGCAGAAAGAAAACCAGCATGTATACAAGGCAAAAAGCAAAATAATTCTTATTTGATTTATATTTAACTACTCATCTTCCTGTAATCGTGCATATTTCTCTGTTTACTGTCCTCTAGCTAAACCATTTCCTTCAGGATGAATGAAGTTGATCTTAAAGCACTATTTATGTCAGATGCTCTTATTTTGTCACCGCTTCCTGTCTGCGCGTCCTCGGTGCGCGTAGCTTGACAGCAGAGGAAAGTGGGATATTCCGCGCGGCTGCAGCCTCTCTCTCTCTCTCTCNTCTTGACAATCCGACAGAAGGTTTTACATTTAGTGTCGGATTATCGAGTCACGACTGTATCTACAGGTTTTACCAATTCTGGGAAAACACAGTGACTCCACACATCACACATATTTGACTCGTCTCCTCTCTGCTCTGTAAAAACACCGCCTGCAGTTCAGCCCAAAAACTCCTTAAATTTTTATCAAGTGAGTCTCGGCTGCAGCTGAGTCACCGACGGCTTCAGAGGAGAGCAGAATTTTTAGCTTCTAACAGAATCTAGTGAGCGTAAATACTTGATTTTTGATGAATTTCCGAATGAGATATGCAGAATAAAACGATTTTAATGAAAGATTTTAAGAACAAAACGGTAAAAAACGGTGACTGGTGCATACTTTAAACACTTTACGGCTCATGTTTTAATCCGTTTTAATCCATTTTTATAATATGACCGTCTGAGTGGCTTCACAGCTGCACCGAGGAGAGCAGGACTTTTAGTTTTTACAGAATCTGTTTCGTGCTAACAGTTTATTTCAGGCAAATATTAAAATGAAACGTGTAGAACAAAGTGGTTTTTAAGAGGTTAATGTTCCAGATAGAACGATGCCTCACACATGAGTCGTTGCTGCAGAATTTTAAAAAACAGACAAAACCAAGTCTCCAAAACTGGAAAAAAAAACAGCGACTCGACGCACTATAAATGTTTCACTGCTTACGTTTCTAATCTGTTTCCTGACTGCTCTGTGTAAACACTGCCTGCAGTTCAGCTGAAAGTTCTGGGAATTGTTGCCGTGTGACTGTCGGTTGCAGCTGAGTCACCGGTGGCTTCATGTTTGCTCAGAGGAGAGCAGAATTTTTTTATTTTCACAGAATCTAGTTCTTATAAGTGCCTTATTTTTGACAATTATTTAAAGGAAACAAGTCGTTTATGATGAAACATCAACAAACGGTGCGTCGCAGATGAGGACCGTCGGTGGTTCTTCATGTTTTAAAGCTTCTTGCTCTGATAAATGTTGGAGTTTTTGCAATTTCTACAAAAAGACAACAAGGTTTTTAAACCACCAGCAGGTTTTAGGGTTCAGACGGTAAATGCACGGACACGACGTTTCCCTGATCTGCTCCTCTAAACCCAAGAAACTAAAAAAACTTTTCCTGTAAGCAGACGAACAACAACTCCAGACCGACGGCGCTGCGGCTGCACAACTCGTCCTTCGACCGTTTCAGATGTAGAAATGTCAGATAAGTCATTTGCTGACTGCAGGGCCTCCAGTCCTCCTGCTGAGCGCCAAATGGTGAGAGAAAACCAAGTTGCCCTTTCCGGAAAAGTCAGAGCAGGACAGTAACTCTGAGATCATCGGGTCTGGATTCCTCAGTAGATTAAAGTTCCTGTTCGCCTTTTTGTGCCTGAACAACTTGTTACGAAACTTCAATCAAATAACACAAATAAAGATGTAAAAAAAAAAGCACATTTTAGATGAAAGCATGCCTGGATGCTTCACGTTAGCGCTGCTGAGGCGCCTCTCTATGACTTATATTTGGACTGTACATGTTCTGCCTGCCAGGTGCCGGCTTTCTCTTTATCAGGCCTCCACAGGTGCGCGAAACGGTTAAATCTGGCTCCTTCCCTGCAGAGAAAACCCACCGGCGCCGATCGTTTTTAGCAGAAACGTCTTTGTCTTCGCGGATGCACAGGTGAGCGAGACAGAAAGCGCCTCTCAGCGAGCTAATTCAGCCGTTCTGCTGGAGAGACGGTATTTTTATTTTCCACATCTGCAGATCTCCGTGAATAAACTTTTTTTTTTTTATCTGGCGGGTCTGTTTGCTTCCCTCGCAGCCCGTCAACTCGGCATTTATCTTGGAAAGCGACGCTGTCACTCACGGAGACACAATCGAATCTGTGCCAGACTCTTGTCACCTTAAACTGAGCGAGGGCTGGAAACCAGGGCTTGTTTTTCGGCTCTCGCTCGCTCAGTGCATGTGAGGCCCTGCGGAGGCCCGTTGAACAGAGGAGTGGCAGTCAGCAGGCCCGGGGCTGCTGGGAGGACCACATGCCTCTCTCCACCCCTGCAGGATGTGTAGGTGGTGGGCTCGCCTCGCCCAGAATAGGCCCGGAGAGCCGGAGCTCGGGGAGCCAGGCAGGCGTCGGCCGAGTCGGGAAAAATGACAAAAGACAAAAGCTGCCTGATGCCTGTGAGCGTCCAGAAACAGGCCTCGCAATGTCAAGAAACTACGGTTACTTCCTGCTTTTAGTTTGTTTTTGAGTTTGTTTGGTTCCTGTAACGTGAAACAGAAGCGCATTGGAACAAAAAGAAAATAACGGATGTGTCAGGAAAGCCGCCATCTTTGCTTCTTTTTCAGCAGGATTTGCACGTTTAAAGTCGGCCGGCGTCGTTTCTGAGCAGCAGAGAAGCTACAAAGGTGTTTTATTAATGCAAACATATAAATTACTGAGCAGATGCTTTTATTGTTTTGAACATCCAGATAAAACCAAAATCACCTTCAATCACATCTTAAAATAAAAAAACCACATTACAGTTTGGTTTCCTGAACAGTTCGTAGCTCAAACATGTCGCTGCCATCTTTACTGGATGTGTGAATGCTGCAAAAATGCTTCATTTATTTATTTTTTTAGCATAATTTGCAAGTTTAAAGGCAGCAGGAGAGGCTAAAAAGTTGTTTTTTTAATGCTAACATATAAATCTTTGAGTCATTTTTCTTACAACATGAAGACAAATTTCACCTTTTCACATTTAAAGAAGCTCAACTCGAGCTGATCTTCAGCTTTTTAACCTCCATCTGGAAACAAATCCATTTAAAATCATCTCTGAGGGCTTCAATTAGCTCTTAAATTAAAAAAAACTACATTTATTTTCTGCTTTAGTTCATTTTAGTGCGTGTTTGGTTTCCTGAACAGTTTTTAGCTTCATTTAAATGCTAAATGAAGGAAGCTGCCGTCTTTACTGCTTTTTAATTGTATTTTT